ATATATATATATATGTGTGTGTGTGTGTGTGTGTGTGTGTGTGTGTGTGTGTGTGTGTGTGTGTGTGTGTGACACAAGATGGTTATAGAAGTTCACAGAACTGACTCCGCAACAGCTGAGTAAAACTGTTTCATCTATGCATGTGGCACTTTAAGCATTATCGTATCGCATATCGAATATCGCATTTTTCTTCAATATCGCACAGCCCTACTATATGTGTGTGTGTTTGTAAAATGGCACAGCCTTTTAAATATCTGAAAGACACTACACTCTTAACATCAGTCAGTCAAGCATTATAATATGATAATCAAGTATTGTTTAATAATAGAAGTTTAGTAAATAGAATTAAAACTTGGTAACTATGTATGAATGCAAATTAGTAATTTTAACTGAACTTAGGACTGGTGGTGGTGCTTTTTTTTTGGTCATTCAGGGAAAAAAACGAATAATAATAATAATAATATACGAATTCTACTAAAAATTATTATACGAATTCTACTAATGAGAACAATATAAAATGCACCAAGGATTCCAGCAAGCTGCTGAATTCATGAATATTAATCAGTTTGTGTGCGTTTGCTGGAACTGATTTGCTGAAACCAAAACAAGGACGATAATAAGGGAGCGCCAGCCAATGAGTTTTAATTGAGCATTAGTTCCGCCCACTACCGGAGAACCCGGCAGTTCTTAAAAGCTGAAGAATTCCAAAGGAACTCCGTTATTTTGACGGATTCGCTGAAATCAAAACGAGGACGATAATAGGTGAGCACCAGCCAAAGTAGTTTCGCTTTCACAACGAAACACACCGTGTCACACACGGCGGGCTTGAGAACGGCGTGGCCGGCAGATTCGACGAGGGAGCGTCCCTCGGGCTTGGGGCAACCACATGTGACGACCCCGGGCTGGACTATGTTTTTCTAATACACGCATGTATGAATTGCATGTATTCAAACAGCGCTGCACGAGCTCGCGGCGGCAGGGTTCAAAGTCCAAAGCATGAGGAAAATCTGCGCTGAAACGGTGTTATTCGTCAGCTGCTCAGTAACATTTTTATGAATTTTTACAAGGCATGTGACAATGCGATACGTGCAACAAGCATCTTCCCAAATTCGTAATGAGAATCGTTTGTCAACAAAAAAAAAGCACTGAGGTCTTCCTGTGGGTTTCTGCCAAAATAAAAGCTGAGAAAAAGCAAGAACTCCATCAACATTAATAAATGTTATTGTAATTTTACTGTTGTTCTGTAAAATAAAAGAAAATAATGAAAATAATAATTACAACAGCTCTATTAATACATTTATTGTAACATAGTGTTCAGACTGGGATCTAAAATATTTTCTATAAGTCTCTTCTACTCAGCAAGGCTGTATTTATTTGTACGGTAAAAAATACATGCCTGATTCAAGAAGGGGGTCTAAAAATGGCCAAAAAATATTTTACTAACTTCATTTTAAGTTAAATTGTGTTTTATTGGTATAATGTCTGCTAGAATGTTAAAAAATGTTCAGTGTTAAGTAAACATTTTTTTAAAAATTTCTTTGAAATGTAAGACAAAACAGTAAAAAGCACATTTTGGCTATTTAATTTATGCAATGGTGAAAAAAATTGGCAAAATAGGGGAAAAAACGTGAAAAAACGCGTTCGGCCTTCGGCCCAGTGTTTCATTTTGTTTGGCTTTGGCCAAGAATTTATTTCAGTTCATCCCTTGTAAATAGCTTTCAAATATATTTGATTTTGTCCATATATACATGACAAAAAGAGAAGATGAACACTAGCTTAAGCAAAACGCTGCCGTACTTTGTAACTGCTTATGTAAACGTGCTTATTGTCATAGAAATGGACTGAGAAGTCTGAACTGACCAGCAGATCACATAATCATCACGGTGGCTCTTAAGATTACTCCAGTTATGCTTTGCCAGCATGGGTTATTCTCGATGAGGAGTTGGGAATTATGGCAATAACTTGCCCCTGAGTGGACCTTTATTCAGATTTATTATGCAGCACAGTTGTCGCACAGTAAACCACACTTTTCACATGCACTGGGCTTTTTACCCTATATATCTTAGGCTATGAATCACTGTAATCACAGGCGGATGTTGTAATGTTGCCAGAGTATTTGTTAATCACCCAGTACATTGTTTTAAAATCGTACATCGTAACTCAGAATGTCAAGAAGAAAAGACCGATTATGACTCTGCAATGGTGTTATTCCTCATTTTTCACAGCCTTAATATGGCAGTGCATGTTTTTAAGTCAAATTTGCTTTTCTTACAGAATTGATTAGGGCAAACAAATCAAAAGTGCCTCTGCTTCCTCTAAAGGGGTCAAAATGTTATTTGCTATTTCATAGATGGTGATCTTGTCTTTCTCTATAACTTCAAAATTAAATTAAATAAAAAATTAAATATTTTCCTGTGATCCTTGTTTCTTTTCAGGACCAGAACAATCTAAAAATTTTTTACAAATCCAGCACTAAAGTTGTACTTTTTTTTTTTTTTTGTTACACCCCTTTACTAGTGAAATTGTTTCCCTTAGGCTTTTTTTTTTTATTTTTTATTTTTTTTTTTTTTTGTTACACCCCTTTACTAGTGAAATTGTTTCCCTTAGGCTTTTTTTTTTTATTTTTTATTTTTTTTTTTTTTAGAGGATGCAAATATTGTATGTAGCTTAAATATGTTTGTTTTGACCTGGCAAGGTTATTTTAGTGACGTTATGTGTATTCGTGGTTGTAATTGGCTGCATCTTCACTTCTTGTTCTGCCCTCTGGTCAGGGGCAAGCCTGGCCACCCACTCACTGCGGTTAAGCTGTGAGTAAGTGTGTACGTCATAGTGCTCTTGCTCTATGGCTTGTGCTCCTCCTGAGGGGTGTGGTGCTCCAGAAGGAGCTGTTCTGGCACTTCGCCACATCTGTCACTCTCCGAAGAGAATTGGGTGAACGGTCAGCCTGCCGGCTTAGACGCCAGATCTGATCATAGGGATTCAAATTTGCGGCTTTTGGCATGGCTCTGTAGGATCTCCCAACCTCCCCTGCAGATGCAGCAAGAGTAGCGTAGTACTCTGGTGAATAGGGACTGATTTATAGCTGTGGTGTTGAGACTCCTCTTCCTGCTCTTAACTAGAGCTGTGAGGAAATTAAAGCTGTGGTGCTGTCACCCACAGGCAGACATCTCTCCTCCTTCCGATCATTCCTCCTATTAAGATTGGCTGTGGTTGTAATGGTCAGCTTGTGCCATCACCTTTAGGGCTTTGGGACAAAAAAAGTTAGTGATTATTCAGTTGTCCACCTCAAAGAGATGCCTTGCTTTTTTAAACTGATGGTCTTTTTCCTTATCAATGGAATGAATATTTGTGCTGGTCTACTGGTTTTGGTGAAGTTGTGTAAGTCTGTAACATTTATTTGCTTTGTGTGGTTTGTAGCAGTGACTGTATACTATGATATTGCCTTACAGGAAGTCTTGACACCTCCTGCCATGCTGCACGACCACTAGCTCATTATGAAGTTATCTAGTTTTACTCACTCTTGTCACCCTAGTTTACGGCCTGAAAGTTTTTTTTTTTGTTTTTTTCTCTGTCATATGTTGCCATAGTGCTGTATAGCAATAAACTATGAAGTTTCATGTCCTCAGAACTTTTGTGGCACAGGTTTTTTTTTAGGATGCCTAAAACGCAACATGCTGAAGCTTGTTTTTCAGTGTGGCTCTTTGATCCTTAGATTAGGCTGGTCAGTATAGATTTTCACCAGGATAGTTTTAGCAGCCATGTGGAGAGGTTTAGAGAGAGAGGAAAATTGGGGGTTGGGTGAAGTAGGAACTGGATGGGAGGAGCCTGAGATGGGGTGGAAAATTTTTCTTTTGGGGGTAGCTGAAGTCGAGGCATTGCATTCCTCGCCCACCCCCGCTCATATATGCGTAACACCCCCTACATGTGCATATTCACTAACTAACTCATATACACACATGGAGGTAGTTGTGGTTGAGTAGGACATCTTAGCAAGCCGCATTTTCCCCCACCCTTGCCTGGTTTATCTCACATCTACATAATTCCCTCTGCTCATCTGATTACCTTGCACTTGGGACAAGCTGGTTAGGTATGCAAAGTGTGTATGAACTTACGCCTTACTCATACTCCTTAAATGCTTCAGAAACGCACAAATGCAGGTGGCAACAGGCCACCTTTAAGACTTGGCTTCAGCAGGTGGGCTGCCTGCATGTGTTCCTACATCTGCCTGCCTGGTCTGGCAGCTGCTGTTGTTTAACTACCACTGCTTCTGCTGCTGTCTCACTTTAAACTCCTTTGTTCTTTTCCCACCATCAACGAATTGTAAAGAATGAATGAATTTAGGCTTGGTGCCTGTGTGTGTTGGCCCTTTTGTCTGGAAGCAGAAGGAACAGAGGGGTGGGGGCTGGGATCAAAGGTTGGCAAAGAGTCAGTTACAACTGATTTAACTGCAAAAAAAAAACTAATTCTCACCACCCTTCAACTGCTCTTGTATCTCTCAACAGCTGTGACTCACTGGCTGAAAATTTAATAAAGAATGGTTAAAGTGAACAAAATGGGCTTGCTCTCACCTAGAGCTATTTGTGTTAATACTCCCTCTCTCTCTCTCTCTTTCATCCTCTCCAGGTCCTGTAACCTGACTTTGCCTGACACTGCGTTCTCTGAGAGAATTAAGGAAATATGGAGTGACATGCTGCAGATTAGTTAGCGGATTAGCGGCTTTGAGGACATCCACCTCTGTGTGAGCACACATTCCCTGTCCTGCTTCTGAAGCTCGGCTGCACAGCAGGAGCACTGCAGCCATGGCTGACCCAGGCATGATGAGCCTCTTCGGAGACGATGGGAGTCTGTTCTCTGATGAGTTGGAGGGCCTGGGGGACTGTGGCTACCCCCAAGGTCAGGCAAATCCAATGAGTCAACAGATGCCCCATGAGCACCAAGGCTACGGGCAGCTCCCCTCTTCTCTTCACCTCTCCTCACCTGCTGTACCTGGACAGGCCAAGCTTGGCCTCCATTTTGACCACTTCAGTCAGTATGAGCAGCCCAAGATGCATCCAATGGACCAGCAGGGGGGCCGGATAATGGGGAACGGACCAGTTAATGGCATGTCCTCCCCTCATTCCCGCTATCACGGTCCTCCACCAGGTGCAGGAGGGTCTGCAGGGCATCATGTCTACCCGGGAGCACAAGGAGATGGCCAGAGCCAGTCATTCTCAGATAGCGGAAATGCGTGGGGCGCTCAAGCGATGCAGGTGCCCGATCAAGCTAGACCTGCTTTCCAGCAGCAACCTCCACAAGCCTCGTCTCATCAGCACGGCCCTGCCGGACCACAGGGACATGCCCACCAAATGGGCCCTTTCATCGGCCGTGGTGACTATGCCATGCAGGGCCACAACCAGACGCAAACACCCCCCAGAATGAACCACTTTCCCCAAGGCCTCCCTCAGGAAGCCAATCATTTCATGGGTCACGTGGGGATGACTCAGAATCCCGGCATGTCGGGACCCCCCATGCGTCACCCAGCACAGCCTCCTCAGCAGCATCAGCAACCCAATCAACAATTTCTCCACAGGTCTGGCCAGGGTCCGGTTCATCAGGAGTCTGTCGCCAGCCACAACCCCCAGTTCCCACAAAGCCCTTCAAGACAGCAGCAGCAACAACAACAGCCGCAGCAGCAGGTCATGGGCGGAAGACCCCACCAAAACATGGGATATAACATGCACAACCAGCAAGTCCCTTCCAACACTGTAAACAGCTCAGGGCAGTACCCTCCCTATCCTTCATACGGCAACCTTAGTCAGGGATTAGCCAACACTTCAGGGATGAGTCCCAACTTGAGCCTTACCACCAGCAGCAACAGTAACCCTAATGCTCCCGTGACCCAGGTGCAGCGTTACCCTGCCCCGACGGGGCCCCAGCGCTACCCCACACCTGGGGCTCAACAGGGACCAATGCACCAGCAGCCCATTCATGTGAACCAAATCAACACCCAGCCTATGCATCCAGCTCAGAACCAGGTTGCAGCCCAGCAGAAGCTGCAGCAACAGCATCTACCGCCTCCACCTCAGGGATCATACGCCTCCCCTCCTTCCATGTCGCCCATGAGGAACCTGGCTACCCCTGCGGGCACGCCTCCTCCCCAGCAGAGCCGCCCGCCCAGTGCGGGTTTGGTAACTGATGTGGGCGGCTACCCCGGCGTCCCGCATCAGCCTCAAGGCCCAATGGCTCTCGCCCAGAGAGGAGCCTGCCCAATGAATGCAGCTCTGCAGCATCCCCACCAACAGCTGTCGTCGCATCCCTCACACCCACATCCTCCACCAACCCAGATGTACGCTGCTTTGTCACCCAATCACAGGGCCACGGGCGCTCAAGGAAGACCTCCAGCAGGACCGGGTGCGAACCACACAGAGCCCCAGGACCAGAGGCTGCTCGCCCAACAAGCGCAGCGCCAGCAGCTGCAGACGCCCCCATTGCCTTTCCAGCAGCAACAGCTGCAGCAGGTGCACACCCCTCCTTCGATTCCCCCGTCACAGACACACCTGGCTGCACACCACCAGAGCTCCCCTCCATCTCAGCAGGCATGGGCACCTCCTCACCAGTCGCCTCCACCCATGCAGAAAGTGCCTCACATGCAGGTGAGTTGTGCAAATGAAGCATGCCTTCCATTGCCATTAAAAGTATTTTGGAAAGTCCATGTTGTGCACGTGGGTGGCAGAAGGCCCGTTTGAAGGTTTCTCTTAGCGGCTATGGTGCCGCCTGTGCCCCACATGTGTGGAAATGGATTTTTACAGCTGTTTGTTTCCTCCTCACTGCATATCCTGGCCCCTCTCCAAGACACAGGCGCCACAGTGCTAATCTCCAAAGCCCTACCCCTCCCCCTTCCCACTCTGAAGGGGAAATGCTCCCTTCCTGCTCGCTGTAAGCATCACTCTCCTCCCCCGTCTGCACTCCTTCCGTTCCCCTCTCGCTCTGCTCTTTCTGTTTGCTTTGCCTGTCTCGGAGGACTCATGCGTGAGTTAATGGCGTACGGCAGGATGCGTCCTGTTGGGAGGGTGGAGGAGGGAGCCAATGGGGAAGGGAGGTTAGCAGCTCTCAATAGCTGCGTGTGTCACGTGCTTCTGATGCCATTAGCTTGTTTTGCTCTGAAAGCCTCTTTCTCTGGTGACCCATTCACACACAATGGCTGCTGTTATGCCAGCATGCACATCCTGCTCATAGCATTTTTGTGTCTCTTTATCTCACTCATACCAGCGTTGACAGCCATGGCTCGATGTCAGTGGTCGTGTCTGGCTGATTGTGTGATTATATTAAAGTTTTGTGGTTGACATTTAAGATCAGTCTGTATTCATCCACCTCACTTGTGACCTAGATGAAGCGCATGCAGTTAAGTGTACCACTTTCACTGTAGCTATTAAGCCATCTCGTTTTTGTCCCAATCATGAGTTGTCTAAAGACATTTAATCCTAACATATTTTCTATCTGCTATGGTGTGAATGAAAATACGCCCTATTTTCAAAATGCATGAGCTTATTGTGAACAATTCATCTGTTCAACAATTCATAACTGGTGTTACAATGAAACAACAGACTTTTCTGGTGACTTAAACTAGATGTCTCTAATCATTTAGTCTGTTTAACACTGACAATTTTTTACAATTGACTGTAAGCTCAATATCAGATCTGTCTCTATCCAATCAACAACCGTTAAACCAGCAACTGCAATCAACAACCACTTAAAATCAAGTTCCCAGCCCTACATGTTAATCTGTTTTACTCAGATGTATGTCACAATATAAAATAAAAGATTTGTCAGTGCTTCCTTTACATCATGACCAGTGTTGGGAAGGTTGCTTTGGAAATGTAATGGGTGACGGATTACAAGTTACCTTATTTAAAATGTAAAAAGTAGTGTAACTATTTAAACTTATTAAAGTAATGTAACTGATTGCATTTGATTACTTTTTGATTACTGTTCAGAATTCAAATTTTTGCTACATTTTTCTAAACCGTTAATCATTTTGAGACATTTAAAGCAGGCAGGGTTAACCTTACAGTAGTACTGAACACTGATTACTGTCAGACTTTCAAAATACTTCATCACTTTAATTAAGATAATTTAATTTTAAAGCACAGTCACCACTAAATCAGACTTTAGTACCTCTTTTTACTTTAAGATTGTTCCGAGGTAAAATACAGATTTAAAATCATATCAAAATATAGTTTTATTGCTATGACACTGTTTTTGAAATCAAATCTTTGCATAGCTATGACAGGAAACACTGGCATCTAACGATGCCAGGGGGGAGTTAATTTCAAAAATATAGCATATACACAAGCCCAAATAGGAAATATAACGGATATCAAATAAGCATGTGTCCTATTCTGTGTCCTAAACTCCTGAAACATTGGTGTCCCTTTTCTTTTTCTTTTTTTTTTTTTTTCTTTTTTTTAAGAGCAGTCGATGCAATTTGGAAAGAAATCAGTCAAATCTGTTTGTGTGTGAAAATATTCAGTTGTAACCACCTTTGTAATCGTTAACACTTTCACATTTTTTCACCGTAACTGTAACTGATTACAGTTACATTTATTTTGTAATTAAATTGTGTAATTCCGTTACATGTAACTAGTTACTCCCCAACACTGATCATGACTTTAACTCTACATTTTAGACCAGCTGAGAGACAGCATACATTGATATCAGGATCTCTCATCTAATTTCTGAAACCTGCAATGGTTTTCAAAAAAAAATATTGAGCAGGAACATAAATTGGCATTAAGTTAGTGACATGTGCTGGTCACTTTCTTGCACACCAAGTTATCAAAGGAACATAGGCCCCATTTTCTCCTCTCAGAACGTACAGCGCTCACCTCTCGTGCTAAATGCCAGAGCCGTGTCATTCATGAGATATTGAGAAATTTGATGCGAATTAAATGAGACTGTGACCTTTAAGTAGAGCAGTGCTTCATCTAAGGGAACAGACTCTTCATTGTGGCTCCAGTCAAACTGGTACCAAGCGCAAGTGTTCACAACATCACACTGGGCTTTAAGAACTAAAATAGAAGTGCAGATGGCAATGCATGCATGCCATGTTTATGATTCCTTTATTTCCCGTTTATCAGTTCATGCAAGGTGCCAGCCTCCTGAGACTCTCTGCTGACAGCAGCTGCCTGCCATCTTAGTGGTTTCACACTCTCTCTGGGTCAGATACAAGCAGAGCAGTACTTCCTAAATATTCAGCATATAGTCAGGAGTGTACGCTTGCACTTGCTGTTCTTAATTTGCGCAAACCAAATGTTGTAAAAGGAAGTTGCAACACAGAATGGGTAAAATGTCAAGTGCATAAATGTTCTAGTAACTCCTGTCTGGCTTTTTGATGTGTTAAGCCCTAACTTGCCATCGTTGTCCATTTTTAAAGGTTGGTACTTTACAGAGCTTTATAAGTTCATGTGACACAGAGATAGGAAGCCTTTGCTATACTTTGGCATCAAGCGTTTTTATTCTGTGGGAGTTTTATTTGGAGTAGTTAGCTGCTAGTAAGTAGCTCACAGTATCTAAGTGTTTCAGTGCCATAAATTTGTACCTCATTTAGATGAGCCAGAGCAGCCAGAAGCAGACTGAAGTTCAACAGCAGTGAGCAATGAATCTTGAAGATAAAGTTTAGCAAGGGTTAGGCTCTGTGTCTGGGAGCCAGCTTTTCATCAGATGAATTGGGTGGTAACTCACGAGTTCGCCCTGCAAAAAGCCTGCCGTGCTGAGCCCAAGCGCAGTTCTCCTTCAGGGAGTATTTAGCTCACCGAGTGAGCACTTTGCCTGCTAGATTAACTGACACGTCAGTCTCCCCCTCCAAGAGATGAAATCCTATATTGAACATATTGTATTCTGGACTGCTGCTGTCAAATTAGAAATGCAGAGAGCGCGTGTGGTAGGCCTATTGTCATTCATGCAATTGATTATTGGGGAGGCTTGGCAGGAGGAGAGACATTTATCCGCTAAAGCGGCGGCAGAATGCTCGCTGTTCCAGCTGCTCTAATGATCACCGTTGAACTGGGTGTTGGGCATTTTCTGTGACCTTGCCACTGTTTGGCATGCATGGTGCACCCTTATTTCTCATGCTGTTGTTTACAGGAAATATGCATTTCATCACCACAGTGATGTGGTTTACAAAGTCTTTTGTTTTAAAAGCGAAGTGCATGGTATGCAATAAAACTCTAGACTAGAATCAACATATGGCTTATGGAGAATACACAATATTCTTCCTGATTTGCCAGGATGGAAACTGGTTTCACCAGGCCAGTTTTTTGTGAATATGCCTTTTGAAAGCTGTAGCATATTGCATTAAATTTGCTGACTTCTAAAACCGAGGCATTTATGAAGTATAGATATAATTTATTAGTGTCATAATGCCTCAGTCCCATCTGCTGCAGGGACTCTGGGAAGCTGGACGCTTGGCACAGCTGCCAACATGTTTCCTGTCAGTCTGTCTTTGCCATGAATGGAGAGGGGGACAGAGATAACTGCAAGGAAAAAGGCAAAAACTTTGCAATGCTGCCGAGTTACAGTTAACACGGGCACTACTGGGAGCAAAAGGAATCAAACCAAGTAACATGGCATGCCTCAAGGGCCAACAGCAGCAGGGGCAGCTGTATGAGTGCATGAAAATGCGAAGATGTTTATTCATTTTTCCCCAACTTATCCTAGCTTTTCTGGGCGATTTAAAAAAATAAAAAATAAATAAAAAAAATGCTACTTAATGTATCTGGTGTTGATTAATGTAAAGAAGCAGCGATGCAATGAGCTTTGTTCAGCTTCTCTGTGGTTGTGAGATATGCAAAAATTCAAAAAGGAAATCCTCTAGTTGTGTCTCCTGCCTTGGTTATATTTCTTTTTGGTACTAACAGCTCCTGTCTCTCTCTCCTCGTCATCAGCATTCTCCATCAGACCCTTCCCTGGAGATGATAACATCTAGTAAGACACCTGCCTTGGGCCCAAACCTCCAACCAGCCAACTGTGAAATACAGCAGACGAAGAGCGAGCTCAAGCCAAAAAAGAAGAAAAAGAAGAAAGCCAAGACGAGCGAAGACCAAGAGGGTAACAACATTATTGGTGAGGCCGGAGGAGCTTCTCTGATAAACGAGGGAGACTCTCTTATGACTCCTGTGGAACAGTCTATCATTGAAAAGAAGAGCAAAAAGAAACCAAAGGAGAAGGAGCCCAAGGAACCGAAAGAGCCCAAGACTCCCAAAACCCCGAAGACTCCTAAGACACCCAAAGAACCTAAGGAGAAAAAAGTGAAGACTGCCACCCCGAAGCCTAAGAGCTACAAAAAGCCCAGGTATGCAAAATCTGAGCCTCCTGTAGTCTTCAAAAATCATATCTAAAGTTTTATCTGCATTTTGTTTAAATGTTGCAAATGTACCCCATATTTACATGAGCTTCCAAGTGTGAAATGTCCATATTTACTGTAGGTGCTTACTCGTGTGCTGGATGGAGTCACAAAGCCTCATGTGATCATCTGGTTCATTGAACTGTAGATATGTTTAGTATGAGTTGTTTTCTAGGTCTGGTACAAGCTGATGGTGCTTTATCAGAGTTCAGAGTTGTCAGAGGTGTTATGTTTTATAACGTTTTTGAGAGACAAGGAACTTTATATTGTCTAAGACTGACTTTAGCTTTTTTTTTTTTTTCTCTTTGAATTGCAAGCGCTAAACCACAAACGTGACACCTTTCTGATAAAACCGTTGCTAGTTGCCTGAACTTAATTCTGGAGGCCTTTAAAAAAGATAATCGCATCTCATCTTTGCTGATCATTTGTTCTGTGAAGAAGTCATTAGTCGTTTTATATTTTATTAACGCTACCTAAAACGGTATACTATCATAAACCATCTCTCCTCTGGATATAGCTCACAATAATGCTGCTTATTACATTCAAATGATGCCCCCTTCCTTTTTTCCTTCGACCCCCATCCCCCTCAGAAAAGAGAGAAAATGCATCCATTCTGAATATGCAGAGCAAGGTTGCATGGCCATTTTTCCTCTAGCGGAGGTAGTAACATGATCCGGCTAAGGAATGTGTCCACCTTCCCCCCTCGCCCATCCGAAGCCCCGTCACTCCACCGCCGCGTCCCTTTCATCCAGAGGAAAAGGGCCGGGCCAAAGCAAGCTCATCTGCAGCACAGTGCCAGAGCAGTAGGTCATCTGAAGGGGGAGGAGGGAAGAAAGTGTGTGTGTTTGTGAAGGAAAAGAGGAGGGGGGACGTCTCCATTCAAAATGGCACCTAATGCTAGTTAGTCTACAATGCTGTCTCATTAATCATGCCGGCCTGAATTTGACCAAATCTGCTACAGAGCTGGATGTGTGGTGTTAGCGAGCCCCTGTGGATAGTTTTTAAACTGTGTGGCCCCATTTCTCAAAAAGTGGGCTACATATAGCACATCTCGCATTTGATGTGAGTGTCATTCATTTCCCTTTCCCCATCTTCATTTGTTTGTTTATCAGCTCTTTTAACGTTTTCCTTGTTTAGTTACTCTTTTCATGCAAGTGGAGTACAGGAAACTAGGTTGGACATTAAAAGTCTTGGCCTTGTATCTGTTGGCGTTCTTATCTGACAAAGAAAGCACAACTATAAATAGTCATTCTCAGGCCGCACCCAGGGTAAGATGTTGAGCGTCTGTGAGCCCAGGTTTTTTTCCATATACACAGCCATCAAACACTTCAGAAAGATCCCTCCTCAGCACTGCGTTGCATGTGGCTCTTTCCCCCCACGAGAAGACTGTTTTGCATTGCAAATACACACCTCTCACCTTCAATTTATTGGCAGGTTCCCAAGCAACTATAGCAAAGCCCCCATTTTAGTCGGTGGGGTTGTTTTCTAATTGCATAACCACCTAACCTGGGTGGGCAGTTCCGCCGACCCTTTGATTTCCATCTCATGTCGAAGCAGAGTCTCTCTTTCTCTTTCGCAGATTATCTTAGCTACATCCTGTGCGCTCATATACGAAAACCACAACAGTCGCGGTTGCATAGGAAGTGCTGCAATGTGTGTGTACTCAAAGATCTTCGCTTGCGGGACCAGCATGCCTGTTTGCTCACAAGTCTAACTACAGTACCTTTACGCCAGACTGCTTGCTTATTTGTCCTCAAACAAGCGCTCCGCCTTGTCTTCCCTCCAGGCTCCAGTGGAAAAAAAGTTGAATTCTGTGTGACATTGAACCTCAAAGACAAAGTGCAGAGAGGCGGATGGCACAACAGAGGGAAAGGGCCAAGCATCCAACTTTGTCCTCCCTGTATATTTTATCCTTCTAAGACTAGCAGACCTGTCCCACCTGAGCTTGGGAGTTTTCTGTTCTTGTGAAGTCTTGTGTCGCTGCTTTGGTGATCAGACAGGCCACCGTCTCAAAAGAGTGAGCAAGTGAGACGGTGCGGTGAATGGATTCGAGAAGTGTGCCGACCGCTGAATGCGCAGCCACTTGGGGACAGGCAAAAGTGAAGACTCGCATGCTGTCCATCAAAGACTCCCTCGCTTAAAACAAAGAGCCGCCCCCCCCTGGCTATGCACATGAAAGACCCTACGCTCTGAAACACTGTTTCTTTGATCAAAAATTATTGCAATTTCTAATATTGGTTTGCTATTTTAATATACTTTAAAATATAATTTATTTCTGTGACGCAGCGCTGAATTTTCATCACCCATTACTCCAGTCTTCAGTAGGGATATGCCGGTATCAAATTTTCATGTTGCGATTAATTGCTAATGCTTTTATCTCGGTATACGGTATTATCACGATATTGAGATTTAGTTTTAAAAAAGTGCTGTCATAATACAGTATAACAGGTTTAATAACTTTTTTCTTATAACAAAAATAACTGAACATTTAAATGCAATAAAGCAATACAGAAAAATGTATAAAGTTAAAAGTTTTACACAGATTAAAGTGCAAAAGAACTATAAAGACCAATAGGTATCACTTTACAATAAGACCTCATTAGTTAACCTTAGTTAATGCATTAACATTCACAATGAGCGCTTTCATCCAGAGCGTCTCACATGTTCCGCCATGTGCTTCAGGTCAGCACTTGTTTACATCAGTGAGCACATCTTTCATGCAGCATACAGTGGTGTTGTGCATTTTGACCAGTTGATGGGAAAAGTATTCTTAAAATGCATTCAAAATTCGGAATAACTTGTAATATATAATTATTCACGGTATTTAGAAGAGCCCATGATAACAATATCGTG